GTGGAAAGTGATGAAGTACATGTAGATGTACTTAATTTCTGTTTAATAAAATATTTTAATGTTTTTGAGACCTTTACTTTCCCTCCATCACATTTCTGACAAGTTTTCAGAATTAAAGAAAACGTGACCCAAGAGTATTTTTCAGTTCAATTCATGAGTTCGCATGGGGAATTAAATGAAGAATTGTTAGATTGTTAAAATATCTTACAGTACCTTTACTTTTAAAAACGTTTACTTTTAAAAAGCGCTTTTAAAGCAATTACTTTTATACTTCAAGTATAAGTAAAAAGTACTTTTATACCTGCTTTAAAGCAAGTACTTTTATACTATAATAAAACTAGAATATAATATAAATAGAACACCTGGAGAGTGTGTGCTACTGTGTTTCCTATCACTACATAAGGACTTCCATGTTGCCTTCATAATTGGATGCATTGAGAGTTTCTGAGTGAGCTTGCACAATACATTAGTGTAAGTGGGCCTCATTCACCAATTTTTTCCTAAGTTTTTTTCCTAAGGTCCTAAGAAAAAGTCTACGTCAGATTCATGATGTGTTCTCAAACCATAGAATTGTTCGCACCTTTGTGCTCTTGAGTGTGTAGATTCTGTTCTTACCTAAGAACAAATCACAAATACAGAAACACTGGTGAATGTCAGTGTCTGCGTGAAACGAGTGAATGAGGTCCATTGTTCCTGCCCACTGGAATATGGTGGGCAAAAGTTACTACGCTTCAATTTTGTCTTTTGAATGATACGACACAATGGATTGCACTTAGAATGACCAAGGACATGAACTAAAAAAGTAAAAAATGTCCAGTTTGGTTTCAGATTGACTTTAAAGGAGAAGAGTAGATTTTAATCCTGACAGCTGCTTTTTTTTTACCTCAGCATTAAGGTGTTAAATATACAGCTAAGTTGAATCTAAAGGCCTGGACAGGGTGCTTTTGCACTGTCGTGTCCACTGAAATAGGGTTATTCTGTAAGGAGCTCTTGTCTAATTCAGCCTGAGAGTGGGTCAGCATGCTTTAGACTAGAGGGTCAAGCACTATCAGCCAGCTGGCAGGACGTGATCTCATTAAATGAAGTGCTGTCTTTGCTGATGCTGTTTAATAATATCAGGTCCTCTTTGAGGGAGGTGTGTGTGTAAAGAATAAAAAGGGAAGAGGGAGAGAGAGAAAGAGAGATGGATGAATCAAGAATAAAAGTGAGATATGAATGCCTTTGTCCACTCAGCAGATGAGACAGCCGGGGCAGGAGAGCATTCTGAGGTGAAGAAATCTGCGGAGGAGGAGGAGAGCCAGGAGGAGCAGGAGACTGTGGAGAAAAGGAGAGAAGGTCCAGGGCAGCTGGGGGAGGAGGAGAAAGCCAAAGCTGGAATGAAGCACTGGAGCCGCACCAGGCAACTGGCCCACAGGCGAGCCGAGATGGGCGCTTATGACCAGCAGGAGGCACCACACCACTCAAAGGAGGTTCCGGGGCAGGGCGAAGGGGAAGTGTGGAAGAGCCCTGAGGAGCAGGAGCTCCAAATGATGGCGAGGAGAGACCCAGAGGACAGGAGGGAGGAGGAGGGGAGTGCCAGCAAGAAGACGGAGGTAATGCTTTATACAGCTTCTCCTGGGAGGGTTGCTAACGCCGGCACCGCTGAACAGGCGCTGATGTCAGCAGTCTCAAATTCATCACCTGTTCCTAATTAGTTGTGTTTATTCAGCAGCCTGGGTCTGAGTAATGACCAGCATCAGTGTGATACGAAAACCTATTTTTTTGCGTTCAAAATTCAATACCTTTGTGAACATTTCATGAAAAATGGACCAACAGAAATTTTGAAAAGCAAACTCTTTTTGTAAGTTACATTAAAGGGGAAGTCCACTGATTTTCCAAAATTCCTGCATAATTAAATAGTTAAGATGTAAACAAAGCCATTCAGACTTCAATCAAGTGCTCTATTTGATGTGAAATGCTCTATTGTAGAAAACTCACCAAGTCAGAATTGTTCACAGTGGAGGTGATAGAAACCTGACATCTGAAGAATTTAATGCATCTAAAAGCTACATAACAGAAGATTATTACATGTAATGGTCACAGATATCCTGCCTGATGCCTGAGACATTGTTTTATGATAGTTTTGAGAGAAGATTTTGGCTTAAAATGTATTTCTATGGCAGAAAGGTGCATATAGAATGTAGTAAGGCAGAATGATCTTATTTCTTCCATTATTATGTTCCACTATATCACTATACCACTATCAACATCAACATCACATATGATAACTCAGAGGATACGTGTCGGTTCACTGGAGGTTTTGGACAGTAAATAAAATGGCTGTGTCTGTGTTGTAGACATAACGACCTTTGGTTCCTATCACCACCACTGTAAAGAAAAACAAGTCAGTAAGTTCATCTACAATGAACAATTATACATCAAACCACTCTGAATAACTATATTTACATCTCAATGGCTGGCGTCAATAAATGAGTATAAATATACTATGTAAACATTGTTAAAGCTTCAAAAGGTTCACACCCAGTCTATATTTGGAAACTAAGCTCAAAATCAGCCCATTTTGATCTTAGATTTTTTTGTGATGTCACAACCATGACCACATTTACATATAATCACTCATTCAGTCTTGAGAAGTGATAAGAAGTGCTGTTACTGCAGACACTCTGTAGAGTTACGGGAGCAGAGCTTGCGGGAAATGTATCGTTGCAGCCTTCCAAGGGATCCAGACATCTGAAAGAAGTTTATTTTTTCTCTTGAGAACTTTAGTGTGAATTGAACATTTTGTTCTGAACACTAAATGATGCACAATACAGAGCAGCCGCTCAGAGCAAGAGGAAATTTACATGTATCAGTCTTAAAGGCACAGTAACAAAAACAGAGGCTTGAAAATGTCCATGTAACATTGGATTATGATTGATTTTGGTACATAAAACCATACAAACATAAGTGAACTTAAGGGAATTAAAGACATAGAATGTGGCTTTTTTATTTTTCATCTTTCTCCTGTTTAGAAGATACAACACCTAAGCATGATGAATAAAATAGCATTCTGAAAGGGCTCTCATTGTCCTCTCCTTTCTTTCTCATCTCTTGTAGGATGCTGAGATCGAGAGTTTGGCTGCCATAGAGTCTGAGCTGGAGAACGTGGCTCAGAAACTGCATGAGTTGCGCCGCGGCTGAACTAAAGCAAGCTTTTCCTTACTCACCTCACCGTTCTCCCTCTGGCTCCCCTTCAGGAAGGGGCGCGTGCTCCGTCCAGATGAAGCTTTCTTCCCTTTAGCTTAGCCACAGCATTGCAGATACTTTCCACTTTGGCTTTCACTCCTTTTCCCTTATGCTCCAGAAACACAATGCTGCATAGTGCAACTGTTACAACAAAAGGATGTGAGCCAACTCCCACTTTCTACCCAGCACAGCCCCCTGCTTCAGCTTTACGCCAGTATCTTGCTTGCTTATTGAAGAAACGTGGGCACCATGTAAAACTAACGCAAAGAAAATGCTAGAAAAATAAGTGCTAACATAAAAGGATTGAATTTATATACAGAAAAGTACATATTCTTTTTAAAGGTACTGCACCTGATTGATCCTCATGCAATAACATTTTTATCGAATATGGTGACTTGATTGTAATTAAATACAATGTGGGATTTATTTAAGAAAACCAATAAATATGAGAGTTATCTGTAGTATGGAATTGTGCAAGCAATCACTTCTGTGCTGTGTGATGGGCTGTGGGTATGAATCTATGCAAACCAGAGGTTATCCATATGACCTCAAAATGAAAGACAGAATGAAGTCACAGCCCAACACTGCAAAATATAGCCATAAGACTGAGGTCATTAAATTTTAGTATTTATTCTCTGGAATCCCTGTTTCATCATTTACAAGGGACATAAAATGCTGATAGTGCGTGACTTGTTTTCCTGTCCTTTAAAATGTGCCAAAAACAACATATACACAAATACATACAGTGTGTACAGTATGTACAAGCATAGCAACAGAGTTGAAAGGCACAGAGAAGTCCAACATACAAATTCAATTATACAACACTGTAAAACTGTCAATGGAAATGTATCATTGTGGTCTTTACACATTAAAAAAACCCAAAAGACTGATGTGGCCAGTGAGTTATGTATTCCTCCTTTGCCACATAGAATATTCCACTTAATCACACTTTCCTACAGTATGTGGAAGACCCTTAAAGGAAAACTCCACTTTTTCCAACTCTATCTCTATCTGCTGCACCTCTGTTGTTCTGTCTGTATTTCCACAGACGATCATTTCAGAATGTTTCTCTGCACTTAACGACAGACGAACTGTTGACATTTATAATAGCTGAAGCACCTGCCCACTGGCTTCTGTGAGACAACAGCTTTCCTACGTACGAGGAAAGTAATGTCCATAGACTTGTAAAGGTGCATAATCATTCTATAGTCAGGTCATGCCCATATTAGGAACTCCAGGCCTAGGCTGATTTCACTATGGGGAGCAGCATTTGTGAAAATCGCTGCTATCTTGCCTTATGGTAATCAAAAATGTTCTAAACCTGATACGTTTTTCTGTATGTACATTTTTCCTCTTAATGTCACTGAATCTTCTGAAGTATGAGGTAATTATGGAGCCAAAATATGACTAATGCTACGTCGACGCTAACAATGCTGCACATTAAACTGATATTATAAAACGGGCAACCTCACCAAAATGCCCGACACAAACTAGTAAGCTTTATTAAATGTGGTATTTAAGTTCCTTTAGCAATAGTAGCCTACAGTCTGAGTAGCTAATGTTGTTTATTGGTGTTGAAGTTTACTATTCAACTTACTTCCGTGCAATGCCGTGTCAGTGTGCAGGAGTGGTAGCTTGCCTTTAGCATGTACAGGCATGCAAAAGTTCATACACTCCTGTACAATTCTATTTATTTGCTGAGTTTCACATATGGTGGAAAAAATAAATGATAACACATAAAATGTGCCATAACTTTTGCACAGGCCACATTGTATTTTTTTTCCAAATATATTAAATTCAGCGAATAAACAGTAATTGTGCATAAAACAAAACAAAAAACATGTCATTTGATCAGGGGTGCTTTTGCATACGACTGACCAGGGACTGACCTGATCCAGGTAGATTCTGGGGAAAAATGCATCTAGGACAAAATGTATTAAACGTATTATCTGGTTTGGAACTTTTTTGTCTGTGATAGTGTCAATTTTCAAAAACATGATTGATTTTTCCCTTAGCGAAGTTCACTTAGACCCAGACTTTCTAATATGGGCATGATGCCATCTACAAAATGATACACAACTTCAGAAGTCTATGGTAACTGACTATCGAATAAACATAGCAGACAGAGATGAGGTGGAAAAATGCTGAAGTATTAATTTATGCAGTGGTTCTCAAACCGACAGTCCCTGAGGTCCAGTTTGAGAACCACTGCTAAGGTAGTCTTGAGAGTTTTACCTCATATCAAGCACCCAACTGTTGCTCCTTTCACAATGTGTAAGTCCTCATGCACAGTATAGAGCAAATGTTTGACATCAAAATATACTCCATCGCCTACACATTCTGTGTTGTGTCTCACTTTGCATGGCTGTTTATTGCTGTGCAGGTGCAGGAATGCTGGGAGTTGTAGGCAATAAACAGCCTCAAAATTCATAAACACCTAAAATGCTCTTTTCATTTTGCAAGAAAGAAAAAAGAGCAAAAGTCTGAGTGCTCCTTGTGCCGTTATATTTCACCTGCCACCAGCAGGATCATGTAGTTTTGTCATGTGGTTACTTAGCGGTACATTACACGTCCCCTTACTTTCCTCATAATCACCAGTGTAGAAATGCTTTACCACTCATCCCTAAGGCACTTTATCATACAGAACGTCCAGTGCAAAATGCATTAAAACAGACCAAACTAAATCACATCGATACCTAAGATGCTGATTGCACCTTTTCAAACTTAGAACAACAACAATGAAAAAAATCAGTACATCTTTGGTCATTATCTATGCATTACTGATCATATATTGGCACAAGACCCGCTCAGCTTGGAGAAGGGTGTGATTGATTCGTTAGGAGTGATTAAATAGGCTAATTTACTGGAGCGGAGCATAGGGTCACTGTGAAGAAGCCTCAGCCGCTAGCGTGGCCCTGCAGTGTTGCTGGTAGTTCTTGGTTAGGTCAGCATTGCAGCAGCTCAGACCCTGGTGGGAGCCTTTCTTCATCCCCTCGCTGTCTATCACCCAGCAGCCTACCTCATTTGCCAGCATGCCACAGGGCACTCCACAGACTGCAGGCAAGCTCTGGGACACTCCATTCGCTCTCAGGGGTCCGGCAGGTACAGGGCCTTGCAGGACACTGGTGAGGTGAGTCAGCAGGTTATCGAAGAATTCTGGAACTCCCTCGTAACCTAGTCGACAAGGCCATATATACACTTCAGTTGCTCACTCACATTACCATATAAGTAATATTAATATGAGTATTAGTTTCATAGTAGTCACTGAACAATAATAATAATAAGGACCCATATCATGGAAAACTGAGGTGATTCTTTGAAATAAAAGGTTTTATCATTGTTTATTCGATTTAGAATAATAATAACACATTAATAATAATTTCCCCAAATGTGCCAGTTTAGCCAATTTGGCTTATTTTGTGCAAATGAGCAAAAAGACAGAATTACCTAAAATATGAATGATATGTACAGCAATACAAGACAACATATAAAATAAAGTGCAACGCCAGCTGCTGAAACGATTTACATGATGACATTCTTGATTGTTCTTTAGCCATTATTTTAAATCAGCTGAAAAAGAACCAAATGTGGTGCAATCTCTTATTTGTATTGGCAGCTCATTCCAAATATGAGCTGCCTTTACCGAAAAAGCGGATTGTCTAAAGGACGTTTTCCTCATACATTTCACAACATCTCACTGATCTAGTGGACCTATTTTCAGTTGTTTTCTGCTTAATGTAAGCAAACAATGCAGCATCTTAAACAGAAGACAAGCATCTAGAAATTTAAGTTACCCCAGCTTAATAGGTTGCTATTTTTATACAGCTGTAATGGTGGTAACTATTGGACTCCCTACTATTGCTGTTCCCTACAAACTGGGCAAACCATTTATGTAAAGAAGGAAAAAAGTGGCCCCAAAACTGATTTCTGAGGTACACCAACATCACAGCTAATAGCTGGTGACAGTTCTCTATTCACCTTCACTATTTGGATCCTACCTTCCAGATAGAATTTGTTGATGTATAATATATAATACGTTCCAAAATTTAGCATGCGCTCCCTAAACCACATATGGAAACTAAGCTGCAAAAACAAACTATTTTGAATTCATCATGGTTGTGACATCACAAAGACTGCCTTCCAAAGAATCCAGACATCTGAAAGGAGTAGCTGTGTGGCTTTTCTCCCCGATATCCCAGAGGATTTCAGGACGAACTTAACAGTTAGTTCCATGCATATCAGTGCGGACTGCTTTTTGAATGAGGCACAATACAGAGCAATTGTTCAGTCAATTAGAATAGAGGGCATATATCAGTCTTAAAGGCACAGTAATAGGCTGTTTCATTCTGAAGGATAAAAAGATGTTGTAAAATGGTGATGTAAAATCAATTGCAAAATTTTTTGGTACTTAAACCCACAAAAAACATTATAAGCAGACTTCAGGGTAAAAAATACAAGAAAAATATAAAATATGGATTAATTGCTGAATTACTGAACCATAAGTCTACATTTTAAGGGAATATACTGAGATAAAGTTAGTGTCATGACGTCATCGTCAAGAAATGGATCTTCAATACAACAATAGACACAATAAAGATGAGTGAGAGCAAATATGATGTGTCTCCTGTGTTATCATGGGACCTGCTGGTTACTCCACTGAGACACTCTCATGCCTTTCTGCATACACATCATCTCCATAGCAACAAGGGAGAAGGCGGTCTGATGGCTTTTGAGTATGTAACACGAGGTGACAAACACAGCTGTGCTGTGCGTGTAGCTACAGGAGCTGAATCTGAATATTTTCCCTGAAGATAATGTTATGCTTCCCTCTGAAATGAACTGAATGTTCTCGCAGAGGGAACTGCAGACCTGTTCACTCCTATTACAGGAAGTCCTGCATTTAAGACAGAACGTCTAACACTTCAAGATAAAGAATATGCATGCAAACATGAAAGAAAGGTGGACATTTTCTAAATATAACACCAAAAAAACTCTGAATATATAGTGTAAGTTTTTTCTGATATTATTATGTCATACAAAACTACCCCCCCTGACTCTATACTGACACCATGTGGTTTAGAGGCAGAATTGCAACTGGATTGTTAAGAGTAATACACTCCACTACAGGAGAATTACAGGAGACTATCAAATGTTTGGGGACACCGAGCTTTTCAAAATGTTTTTAATACAAATAAGCATGCTTTCTTTGTGTGTTTGCAATAGCCTAACATGTTAAAGATGAACCAGGTGTATTCTTAAGTAAAACAATATGGTATGTAAATATTTGTGATTTTTAACAGTTATCTCCTTGTTGTGATGCACTCATCAACACTCATTTCTGTCAAGTGTTTAAACCACCTTCAATATGTGCTCTTCACAATAGTTTAGAAAAGAAATCTATCAAATGCTTGTTTATGGAAAAAGCTGTGCTGCAAAATATGCCTAAAGTATTAATAAATAGTTGATTTATGGAACACCTTTGCAGGGATTTTTTTTACTTAAGCGAAAAGTAACAGAAAAAAAAATATTTCTAAAAAGGCAAGATGTCCTGAAAAAATTTTAAAACACATATTAAAGAAAGGGTCACTTTTCCCTCTGTCACTAATGCAACAGTGTTTTGTGTTGCTTTTTTGTCCTAAAAAGAGATTTTTGAAATTAAACTATCAATTTGCAACAAAGCAACAATCCACAAGTGGCTGTACATTACAGTGGTTTTATCAGGGGTAAGTGTGTTATTAGGTACAACACGAAGCGGAGTAAAACTCCCTAACCCCTGATAAAATCACTGCAACACGTAACCTCAAGTGACTTATTGCTTTTCTAAAATGGTGGACAACATAAATATGATAAAATACACAATTTATATATTGTATCCTAAAGAAATACAACTTACCTGGAAATGCATTGATATCAATTACAGCATGCTGGCCTGTTTGGTTGTTGATGATGATATCGATCCCAAACAGAGACACACCAAGTGTCTGTCTCAAACTCCTGGAAATCTTCTGAATGACGTCATCATTTGGCGTCCTGCACTGTCCCTCCAAGTTGTCTCTCTAATGAATGCAAACCAACAAAGACAGGTCAAATGGATCTGAAACTGTGGGGAACACTTGTGCACCTCATAATGCACACTTTGTATTAGCAATAAGAACATGTCTATCAGGATGGTCATTAAGACAAATGATAGAAAAAGCAGATTACAACAGACAATAACAGGAGACTTACAGAGGTCAAGTCTGATGAAGACTCAGGCTTGGACACATGATGGCTGTTGAAGGATATGGCTCTTTGGTCTGAATGAGGGAATAAAAAGAAGTTATTAATAGGAATTTTATAGCAGTCTAAATAACACTTATAATACCATATATTCAAAATACTGTGTTTTATCAGTACATTCATTTGCTGATTCATTCATTTACAGACCATCAATAAGACATTTATTTCCAAAAGCATTATTCATTCCATTATAACGTTATTGCCACTAATTTATGTCACCAATGTTATAAAAGACATACCATGCTGCATACGATCATTCTTGTACTGCTAATACTGTGTGTCACAATTTGTTATAAATACAATTTGTATTGTCATTGTATTACCATGATGTCTACCATTAGGCAGCAGAACATTTAACTGGCCAGTGGGGGGCACAACTGACCAAACTATTCTGGCATTTAAACAGATCAGTTGCGTGCCTTACTACATGCTGTGTGTAACACAAAACAAACCGTTTCCCTTTACTCTAAGCCAAGAGTCCGGGTCTAAATATTAGCACTAACATGAGCTGACAGTGGGGAAGAGAAATTAACAGGTTTACAGATAAGTAAGAGGCTATTAGCATCGAGTGGAGTAGTTCAAAAGAGCCATTAGTGCCAATCTCACTTTGCCCATGATTTCAGGTTACTTTAAACAAAGGAGTACTTCATAAACAACTTCAGATAAAGTATCTTTATAAGGAGATGTACATGTTCCTAGACGACTTTAGATGCTAAAACTAGCCAAATGAGACTAAGTCCTCTTAAATCTTGTCTAAATGCATACATGCCACCCAATGAAATGCTTTTACTGGGGTTGTTAGTGCCCAGTGATCCATTCGTACTGCACGCACATGCTTTGAAATGCATGTCACTATTGAGGGAGACCCTCTATGTTATTTCTTTTGGCCTCTATAGCACTGAATGGTGAACTATATGATTACAGTAAAGATTCAGCCATCTAAAGCATGGATGACATTCAAATGCCATATTGTTTACTTTTTTATACTGCAGTTCTACAATGAATCAGGTAGTAACACTTTAATTCAAATCCTGTGATATTAATGGAGGAGTTGTTGAGCCTGTTTCTTTATCTTTTAGCCTGTTAGCTAGCTGATCAGCCTAGTTCTAGTTAAGAAAATAGACTGTCAGCTGCCCAGTTTAAATAAAACAGGGCACTTACTTTATCAGTACACTCGGTGGTCCATGCCAGCAGGATTACAGTTAAAGATTATTCCATTAATAGCACAAGTGACTTGGCACTGTACTGAGAAATTAATTGCCAAGTCAGTCATAGATGTACATTCATAGTGTTATGCATAAATTTATATGCAGTTCAGCCAATAAAATTTTAGAATCTGAACTATCTAATTCACATCAAGTATTTAGGCTCTGAACGTGGCTCAGCCAATCAGATGCAAGTCAATTTATTAGTTTTAACAAGCATTTTGCTCTGAACATGGCTAACAAGTATTTTACAAAGGCTCTGACTGTAGCTCAGACAACTTGACTTTAAAACCAGGTATATCCATTCTATAAATAGTATTTTACAATTGAATTTAAATGTGGTCAAGACAATCAGATCACAGCTACTTTAGAACAGCTTCGATAGTGGCTAAGCCAATCAGATTTATTTATCAGGGCCCAGAAAGCTGTGGAGTGCTGCTATGATTTATAAGAGTAATGCATTCTTGTTTGTGACCAGTGGGCGGACTGACCTGTGGGTCCAGAGGGGAAGTTCTTAATGGAGGGCCGCTCTACCACACTGTAGGCCTCTCCCACTACAAAGACCTTGTAAAGCACAGCATTGTGGTTGATGAAACTCTGGAGGACACACGGAGGCCTGATGTCCTTTAGGTCCTCCTCACTGAAGATGATGGCCATCTACAGGGCAAAGACCCACAGTAACACATCCAGCTACATGAGCTAAGACACATCCTCAGGTTGCACATTAACTAAGCAAAAGATTACAGCTACAGATTAAGAATTCAACATGGAGGTGTACTCATATGAAAAGAATGTCCTACAGACGTGGGATTGAGTTGTATATTTTCTAAGGTGTGGTGAAGCCTCTTTCCACATCACTGAGATAACTGACCTGTCCATAGATCTTTAAGCTAAAGCTTTTCAGGAGAGACCAATAAGAATTCAGTTCTGCTTTATGAGCCCTGTAAAATTTCTGTGTACACAGTCATAAAAACTCACCTACACAATCATTCCATCAGAGAAGAGTAACACATTAATCTTGTACATCTAACAGTGTCAACACTGGGAGGCAACGCCTTTAAGAGGGACGACTGCATGGATTGATTCATTATGGCACAGGACAGCTTAAAGGGTTTGACTGTTAGTAAAGATCTGACATACGATATTTATCATCTATGTACATTGTCTGTCAAAAGTTCGAGTACACCTTGCCCTCTTTGAAATGTACATTTTCTCACTGTCAATGTTCAACTGATCTATCTATGCTCCGCCCACAAATGTGATCTTTCACTGCTGGACAAGCTGAACAGAATGTTGACGAAAATTACATTCAATCTAACGAAAAGCTGTAGCACTCAAACTGTACATTTAGAACACATTTTTAATTTCAAATTAGTTTCATTTCGTATGACTATAAAACTATATTTGCATGTTAAATTTGATCTATTTATTCTGTACATAAAGCTCTATATGTAAGTTCTTTAGTGACTGATGTACCCCTGGGTCTCCCTTGTAAACTATATATCCAATCAAAGGTGGGTAGTAATATGCTACATTTACTCCATTACATTTACTTAAAACTACACTATTTAAGGCTTGCAGATTGTGAGACTCTTTAGTGGAAATGTTTTGTAACATTGGTTGTGCTTTGGACCCCATTCCCGAGCGGATTTATATGATAATTGCGAGCAAACTGAAAAAGTATTCTAAGAAAGCAGGCATATGTGCTTATATACTGACTATCTTTCTATGCCGCGAAATGTGTCTCAGCCAGTCAGATCTTAAAACCAGAACTAGTCATTTCCTAACAAGCATTTTGGTTCTGAACATGGCTCAGCCAATCAGAATTTAGAACACCTTACCCATTGTAAAATCACAGTAACGCAATTCCAACTGTGGACAACTTTAATATGCTAAAATACAGCAAGTTGTTATTAATCAAGATAAAAATAAAAATATTTCACCAAGATATGAAGTTTGTTTAGAGTATGTTATTGTTGTCACGGACAGCTGAAAGAAAACAAGAACGTTCGGTCACCCATCTTTGTATACTGCAGTCATTTCATTAACTTTTTATCTTTTTGTTATACAATAATTAGCCTAATAAAATATATGAGTGATTCATGCAAATACCTTCACTTCCATTCTTTCTATATTCCACATTAGCCTCAAGCTACGTCCCTTTTCATATGCTAAGGCTGAATCTCAAACGGCTCCCTGCTCCCTCTATAACGCATGACATAGGAATTAGCATAACCATCCAAACCGTGCATGATATGTTTAACATATATTAATTTAAGTTTGGGGGATTTGGAGACCTTTTTGGTGGAGGCATTTTGTAACATGGGTTGTGCTTCAGACCCGTTCACTGAGCAGATGAATCTGGTAATTGCGAGCACAATGAAAGAGTATTCAAAGAGAATTTGGTGAAGGACATGTTGACCAAGGATGTAAGTGAATTATCTACTATTGTCATTGTATCTTCATTAGAATAATGTTGATTTTGCATTTGAGACCTACACATCAAGCTGGACATTCTATCTGAGCCTGTGCAAGTGATGTTAATATGTAAAGACGAATGACATCCAAAGAACTCCCGCTAAAAAACCCAACGAGTTTTAAATTCTTATTTCTGATTTTATAGGACAACTCGCAGCAGCGGTTGCTAACCATATAATACCGTGTTTTTCCCTGATTCTGTGCTACTTCTTTCAACAAATCTTACGTAGTGCAACTTTTTTAATAAACTGTACTTGTGTCATTTTAATAGAGGATACTTTATACTTTTGCTCGAATATATTTGTGAGGAAAAAATGTACTTTAACATTTGTCTACATTCCTCTTCCTACATTTTAATTCAATGCACATTCTGTGTGTTTTGTTCTTTTACAGATTCTTCATCCTTTATCCTGATTGGTGCCCTTGTTGTCCGTTAGTCTCATGTCCACACCTCTGGCAAATCATAATAATGAATCTACGTTTTGCATAATTCTGTTTTAAATGCAGCCATCACAAACACATGGTGAAGTAGCAGTTGGACTGAACTAAATAGTGAAAATAAGTTTACCTCTGGACTCATATTCAAGTTATGTTGTTCACAAAAGCTACCAAAAGCATCCATTACATCAGTGTTCAAATTACAGGGAGCTAGGAAGAGCTTAGCTCCCCCAAAATAGACTTGAGCTCCATTGAAAACAATAATATCAGACGTTTAAGGGGTTGTCAACACTGAAAATGAACCATTTTCTTGTTCTACAACAAGGCAAAAGTGTTTCTGGTTGAAAATAAAGATGTGTGACTGAACATAAAATTAATGTGCAAATGATTTTAAGCTGTCCTGCGTGAGTTTGTAAAATTTTAGCTCCTCTGACATGGTTGTATGGGTGTGTTAGATGGTACATTACACTACTTGTTATCACACAATGGTCAGTCATATTGTTAAGATTTGTTTATAGCCACTGAATTTCATTTCACAACTACTGCAAACGTGCCTGTGTGTGCAGGGCTCTGGACACATATAGTGTACAGAGCCCTGCACACACAGGCACGTAATTCGCTACTTGAGTCGACATCTTTTTGCTAGATAGATTTTTTAGTCTTACTCCATATAGTCCTTATACAAAAATCTGTCCACTGTGCAACTATCTTGGTGACACATTCCAGTTCTTTCCAGTCATACAAGACCAGACTCTTTGCATGAGGCAAGACCTATAAACATCAAACCAAAAGCCACACTAACGTTTCAAAGCATATTTGAAATAGTTGGTAAAATTTGACAAAAATTGCATAGTTTGTAGTGTTTGTCTCAAACAATGCACATAAACATGCATTTCTCGACTACGATGGCAGACTTTTCCTGCTTGCGGCTCAGCCAGCAAAGCCCATTGATTTTCTTCCTCGTAAACAGACGTCATGTGAAACGTCACAAGCTTTCCCATTCATTTTTTAACTAGTGAACTGTTTCCTCTTCCTTTACAATGTCTCTTCTGGCACAAAGGTGGTTTACTTACTCGAAAGGTTTGTAAGCTGATGAGTGCTGATACAACATGGACCAAAAAAAGTGTGGTTTTGGCATTACTCCCAAGACTGTCACAAATGCTGTCAATCACGTGGCACTGTTTTCTTAAATAATCTGAATAAACCTGTTCAAATTTACTCTGTTTTGTTAATGCAAACCTTAACATTAAAATCAACTGATGATTTTAATGTTAACATTAAAAACACGCACTTGCATTAAAACTGTTGGAAATCTTGGTGTCCCCAAACCTTTGATGCACAGTGTACATTCCTCACTGTGATAAACATGACAAAGTGCTACAGAGCACAGTGAGCCTTCAGATCACGTTACACTGGAGATCACAATCAGCTGATGTGAGTCACAGTGTGTTTTGAGGGACTGGTTCAGAGTTAACAGTGACACTTTGGCTAAGTCATATGACAGAAAAGAAAATGCCCTTAATTACATAATGCAAGTTTGCTGATTAACAAGGAAAGGAAATGAACCACACAACAATGCTCTGCTCTCCAAATGTACTCTTACCTCATGAGAGTTAGTGCCATGTGCTACCTGGGTTTTACAGACTGCAATAAAACAGAAAACAGCACAAAAATGTATCAGCACTGAGAAAACAGGAAGGGGAACATTATATCAGATCTAGAACAAAACTTTGTGTTGTTAAGGCCACTGTTTGAAAAAAAAACCACTTTATTTCTTGAACACTATTCCTTGTCACACTGAAGACATTTAACCTTTTAAAACCTATAAAAACTAATACCTATTTAAAAAAAATTAAAGAATATAAATTGATGGTCTTAACCTATTAAAACATATTAAAACTACTACCTATTAAAACACCTATTTAAAATTTAACTAAGGCCATTTTAGCCTATACAATTTATATAGGGAGATTCACTCGAAAGAGGCCCCGAATATTCTTTAGTAACTCTTGCTAGGACGAAGCAATCTGAACGAAACAACATGCAATGTGCTCCTCAGTATATGGAGCTTCAAACAAGCCAGGATGCCCCTTCGTTGGAGCGATGAGGTAGGCGCTGGACAGCCGTCGCAACGTTTAACCTCCGTTTGCAACTTCCGGGTGCATACCCCCGTACCCCTTCATGTGTTTGGCAGAAAACGGAGATCACCTCCAGCATCGCATGTAATGCAATTGATTACACATATGTCAAGGTATGTAGCGTATTTTTTTGGTTCAGATTGCTTCATCCTAACGGGAGTTACAACAGAATATTTGGGGCCTCTTTCGAGTGAATCTCCCTATATCTGATATTAAGCATTAGGCTGATATAATGTCAGCAATCTTACTGAACTGAAAGTTTGCTTCTTTCTCTGAAGTACTTCCCCCTCACATATGCTTTTTGTATGTTTTCTTCTCCTTAAACTTATACTAACATATAATGTTAGGCTACTGAAGGCATTGCAACAATCAAGTTAACCTGATATTAAAATTGACCATTTTTTACCTTTTTAGTTCATGTCCCTTAATATTGTTAGTTCATATTATGCATGATTTGTTGGACTGTATATCATGTTAAAGACAATATTCTTGTTCTCCCCACCACCACCCCCTCCTATTGACTACCCCTGAGAACATGTCTATTGACCACCCCTGAGAACATGTCTATTGACTACCCCTGAGAACATGTCTCATGACACTAAATATAACAGTATGGAGTTAGAAAGGATCTAAACAGAGAGAAAGGATTCAAACCACCCTTTTCATCCAGTCACTCATGAACATCCATTCCCGATGATAAAAGTGTAATGATGGGCCACTTCAGTCAGTCAAATTATTTATGTTCATCACAATGGATCACCCAGTGAAAAGACTTTATCAGTATAAATCTGTGTTAACAGATGTGCTTACTGAAGGGGAAGGTGATGCCATTCTTATGGAGCTGATCCAGCAGGTCCAGGCCACACTCACTGCTGAGCCCCATGAATGAAGGAGAGCAAATCCGGTCATCTGTCCACCAAAGAAAGACAGACAGACAGACAGACGGCACAGTAATCACATTTATAATCATTTGACTCGATTATGATTAAGACCTTAAACCTTAAGGTTTCTAACTGGTATAGCAGTGGATGCTGATGAGGACTCGTCATCTTACACAAGGTATTTTCTCCTCAGTGGACAATGTGCTAACATTAGTTTGTCAAAGAATAAATGTTCCTTGTTTCTGGACCTATAAAACATTAGCTAGAGCAGTTAGCCTAGTTAGCGATACACACTATCTCTGTCTTTTCAATCACGTCCTTTAAGACACTCGTGTTTTGAAGTAGCAAAGTGTAACATACTGACTCACAAACACGACTTAATACGAGCCACATTTTATAGCCCTTTCCTTGTCTTTTCTTTCTTTCTTGTCTTCTGTTCTTTCTTTTTTTTCTTTTTTGTCTTCTGTTCTTTCTTTCTTTTTTCTTGTCTTCTGTTCTTTCTTGTCTTCTGTTCTTTCTTTCTTTCTTTCTTTTTTCCTCTGTTCTTTCTTTCTTTTTTGTCTTCTTTCTTTCTTTCTTTCATTCTTTCTTTTGCCTTGTCTTCTGTTCTTTTTTCTTTCTCATATAGACACAAATACAGACAAACCTGAAAATGATTATTTGCAGAGTTTGGATAAAATGACACACTATACACAATTATGTATTATTACCTAATATATGGCATGTTATACTGGTCTCTAAAGGACAATATTACTGCTGGATCCATGGTAACATTTCGATGTAAACTGTATGTGTAGGTTTTCATCTTCATTCTGATCTGCAGCAGTTTATATAAACCAATTAAATCATAAAAGAAAACAAGCTTGAGGTTAGTAATGGCCTCTCGGATGAAAAAGTCTTTTCTGCTTTGCTAATTAAAAGGTTTTCACTTCTTTTTTGAAAAAAGTAGCAAACGGTTCTCTGATTCTGGCCTGTCCTTAATGACTAAACTAGCTTATGTTTAATAACTAGAAGCATGAGATGCTTTATTTATGAGAAATGTGGGGTGATGTACGGGGAAGGAAGAGATCAGCCTTTTATTTACTTATGATTGAAGGATGTGTGTAGCCTTACAGGGATTAATCTTCATCTTCAGTAGTTCAGTCAAACCAAACACTGTTATCATATACTAACAGTATTGTTTGCATTGCATCTAAATACGGGACTTTTGCAGCAATGCCTATCGTACATCTAATCACGCAGGAGCCTTACAGATCAACTCGTGGAAAAAGGGCCTGTTTTTAAGAACCCAAAATCAGTCAGTGATTGCCCATGCAGATAATGACATAAAAAAGCACACAGAGCCGGCGAGCGAGTGGGCCTTAAAAAAGAGTGTAAATGCAGACTGTGGGATACAGTGGGTACATTAGTGGTGTTATCTTCTTTTTCCCAGGATCCCTCACTGTGTTGTTTCATAAACTAATAGCCATGGAAGTGGTTGCCTGGTGAGGGAGCCCAAAGAAGAGTCAGTGCCTTGGAATTCTAAACACAGTTCTCTTCTCTATTAGAGGCCGCAGCCAAAGCTGTTAACCTCACTCTACCCCTCAACTGACATTTGGCACACACTTCTATGCCAGAGACAGACAGCTCTACCATGCCTCTGCTCAAACAGCACTTACGGAATTTACCTATCAATGCCAACAAATGCATTCTTTTCTAGCAACTGTTGCTACGTTGGACAAGCTTAACAACATGCTGACAAAAATCTCACTTGACTCAGGCCCTGCATCAAGTGGGGGGGTCATGGACAGGCTTAGCCTGCTCTGAGAAGACATAAAGCCCTCCTATCAAAGAGGTGTGAGAAGACAATAAATTGCTCAAAATCTACACAAAACCTAATAATCATGCAACCGACATTGACCCACCTCCCCGTATAAAACCCAACAGTACTCTAATCAGTTAATGTACTTTATTCTGGAAGCAGTGACCTTCTCTTTTACTGCAAGACCAACATTACATTACACACAGGTGCACACATGGTAGAATTCCTTAGGCACTACGCCACTGTTCCAGCTGGTGATATGGTGGGGATGTGGCTAACACACGGGCCTCCTGACATCTCTGTTGTCCATGAATGCACATCGCGAGTGGCACAAAGAATGAACAACTCAGCAACTTTGGGCTATAAGCCCCCTGTAAGCCTTATCCTCACCCAGCGGAAAGACCAAATACACAACCCCTCAGACTGGATCATATCAGGGGCTCAAAGGACTACTGAAGAAGCACATGCTAATACATTCCAGTAATGTTCCAAGCGTACTATGGCAATAATTTGAAGGGTTTTAAAAACTCAAGTAATTGCAAAATGTGGAACTGCAACATTGACTGTTTTTAATGTAATTACATGCAGCCGTGATTCCCATGTGCTAAGTTTACCAGAATGCTAATAAATGCATGTCACAAAAAAACAGTCAAACATTATGAGTCTCTATAAACACAAGTACATACCCTTCATGCTCTCCTCCAATTTGTGGATTAGCTTATAAGACTTGAAACGGTCAAGCAGTGTACGAATGGCAGGAAGTGGGTCTAAAATCACAGTTTCCGGATGGGCATCAATGTATTCCTGAAAAGATGCAAAACACACAGGAGTAAGTAATAGTAAGTAATAGTAAGTAATCCATAAAACAAACAAAAATTTACTTCCACATAAAAATTAAAGCAATAGGCAGGGGACATTTTTGTCATTAACAGACATTTCCACTTAATCTAATTATGCTGTTAACACTTTTAGGTGCAGCCACTGCTGACACAGGCATTCAATTATGCACACACAGCTTGGATAAAAGCAATGCCAGTAGAATGGGACACTTTGGTCACCATGTCCAATACCAAGAGTAAACTACAGGTGTATAACCCCCCAGCTGGGCTATAGAGCAGTGGGAATGTGTTCTCTGGAGTGATGGAGCTCCATTTAATGACTTTGGGATGAGTTGGAGTGGAGTTTGTGATCCAAAACTGTGGTTGAATGCAATCAAATCCTCACAGCAATGTTCCAACATCTAGTGTAATGCCTTCCCAGAAAAGTAGAAACTGTAACTATTAATACTCTTGATTTCAGAAGAAACATACAGTGAGCAAGTGTCTACAAACTTTTGGACATGTAGTGTGCTTCATTGATGTAGATGTTAAAAAGGGGGAAAATAACCTAGAAAGTGAGTATAGTCCTAGAAATGAATAATGGGGATTTGCAGGGACAGTGTTTTTCTAAGATGGCAAAAGTGCATTCAGTCTTCTTTGTTACAGTTTCTCTTGGCTGGTTTTGAAAAGATTTGTCTCATCTCTCATTAAAATCATATCCTCATGTTAATACTACTGCACTGACATTTTTAGGTCTGCATTGTTAACTTTTGGATACAGAACAAAATAGAGTTTGGCAACATGAAACCAGTAACAATTAAGGAGTCACTCAGTCACTCTGCTTATTTTTTCACTCTGATATCTCTAATTCCTTTCAAAATTCCTCAGATTACTCTTACAAATATGCAAATATTGGGCTGTGATTCAGTAGATCATTCAGATTATTTTAAAGTGCTCCAGTCCTTACAGTGTGCCTCAGAGAGGCCTAAGCAATTAAAGCTGAGGGCAGTTCTGCAGCAAAGGAGGACAAACTCTGTATTAATACCTTTGATTTCAAAAGAAACACTGAGTGAGAAGGTGTCTACAAACTTTTGGACATACTGTGTACTCCTCAATCTCAACACTTCATGGATGTAGTTACCTGGACACTCTGCACAAGCCGTATGGCCTCTGTGACATTCTGGTCTGCTTCCACAATGTGGTCAGTCAGCTTGTGGATGATGGCGTCCAGGGGGCCCTGCTGTTCCAGTGGTTGGCTGAGGTCCAGCTGGTTGAGGACAACGGGGTCAAGAGGTCATATTTCAGTGGTAATCCTTTAGGAAAACTCCCATGACAAACCTCAGTGATGAATTGTGAAAATAGATTTTCTGTTAAAACTACACCCCCTAGTTCACAACAGAACTGGCTGTTCACTTTTTTATCTTGACCTGTAGTGGGCTGTAGCATGGGTAACAGTTTATATTAAACTCCTTTCCCAGAAAATAGCGTATGTTCTATGGAATTGCAATGCCTTACTAGAAGACTGATGCATATTATGGATAGTCTAAAGCCTGCTTATCCCTACATTTATAGACTTATAAGAGTTAAACAGATACACCAGGGGGAGGGTGTGGTTGATATTCACTTTTTATTCATTGTGAATAAAATTTTTTTAGAAATTTCTGCATTGTTCAATGATTGAAAATCATTCTGAGTGGTTTGATGTGAAATGGTTCATTGCAGAGAAAAATACCCTTTTTTACATTAGTGGTGATAGAAACCATGGGTCACAATGTCTATACTGTCATATTTACTAGCTAAAATGACCAGTGGACCTATACGTGTTGACGATGGTAAAATAGTGGTAAATCCAAAAAACATGCTTGTTACCATTTCTTGTAATAATGTCCTGTAAATGTAGCTTTTAGTAGCATTCAACACTTCGAACGTCTGATTCCTGCCACAACACTCCTTAGGTATCTGTATAACAGTATTTCACCTCAAACCACTCTGAATTACATTTAAATCATTTAATTATGCTGAAATTCTGAAAAATCAATGGAATTTCCTTTTAAGAGAAGTGTTTTTAAATGAACTATTTGTTTCATGGTGCTTAACTTATCTACAAGACAGTCACAGAACTCATCTAACATATGATGTGTCCCTGAACAGAAAGAACAAACATGCCATTTTAAAAATTAGTGGCGTAACAGAGGTCACATCTAAAGTGCCATCTCATTTACCCACTAGCTACTAGCTACAAGCTACTTGTTGCCTAATATAATAAGTAGCTTCACTACTTTGTGAAATCAGCAGCCATTCCCAAGCTATACTGCAGCGTAGCAGATACAGCTAACCTACCTAAATCAGTTACTAAAACAGCTAAAGCAGCTAAATCAGTTACTTGCGAGTTCTAATATTCACAGTACCCTGTAGTGAACTACTAAATGACACATTAGCCAAGTGTAATAATGGACTGTGCTAGAACCATTCATTCCTTGATGGTCCTTTACAGAACATCCGAAGGCATTTTTCTACCAACATTCAAAAACAAAAACTGACCCATATGAGAACCAATGGAACTTATTCTAGCACATTTTTCACCTGCTTAATAGACAGCTGGAACGATTACAATAACTGCATTTAACTATTCAATTGTATTTTTTGACATTTTGGACACTCTAAAGAGTCTAATTTGGCTAAATAGCTATGTCACTTGCTAGTTAGCATTACTTATTGCACAATATGAAACGACATACTGCACTGTTCTGCATGCACACTCACAAAACGCTGGCTCGTAATGTAGCTTCATTTTTTTCCCTATCGTGAGTGTGAAACACTGATGCATTAGCTTTCTCAAATACAATCAGGCATGAATTACTGATCGGGCCATTGGGGCCAGTGCCCAGGGTCATCTGACTGTCAGGAGAGCTTTAGGGGAGAGGGAGCTCAGACCACAAGACTAGAGGTGGCTCAAATACATGGGACAATTAACTGCAGATGGAAATACTAGATGAACAAACAGACCATATATGTAAAATGACAAGATAAATGAAGTAAATTAGGAAATGTTATCTGTTTCAGGTCCATTTTCTGTTTTCGGTTATAACTGACTCATGGTATATTGGTGGCGCAATTCAAATGGGAGGACAGTGTTGGTTTACTTCTGTCTTTACATTACAACTCGGTTTGGCCTTAAAGAAAAGCTTAAGTCGTGAAAATAAATCATCAAATCTAACAGAAATTGTTACAATGTACGATAGGAAATAAAACAGTATACTGCACATTACAGTCATAAGGGTAATTTTGTTCATTTTCATAAACACATTTCCAGTGTGGTTCAAAGTGGACCTAAACACAAGCATAACATTGTTTAATTTAACTTAAAAAAAATTATTACGTGTTACTGTTGGAGTGTGGGGGTCCTCCAAAGACGTTTGTGTCAAGGGGCCTTGCAAAATCATGATCTGACCCTGACGAGGAATGATATAGTGCATTTTTCTGCATTTAAAAATGTCTATAGTTATACAGGATTATGTTTAGAAACAAGCAAAGCTCATTTTTTCTACAGAGCAGGTCCTATACAAGCCAAATAATGAATCCCCTGCAACAGAGGACATCAATTCCTCTTCTAGGGGTCTGGAGCTCAGCCTACTTTGGTTTTTTTTCCTGTTCAAACACACCCACTAAACCTGGTGATTAACTGAGGAGCTGAATCAGGTGTGTTCGAGCAGGAAAATCATCAAACCGTGCCGGAGTTGACGATCCCTAGCCTAGAGGAATAAACGCGGCTTCTGCCTGGAGCTGTGTATTTTAAGCAGGTGTGTTATATCTAGGTACCGTCACATCTTTTAAAAGATGGAGGGTGAGAGTTGAGCATAAATTGTGGTCATAGTTCCTCTGGGACTGGCCCCATGGGACATGCAACTATTTTCTTTGGAACAATCCAGTGGTTGGTTTTTGGCAGAAGGCAGGAGCTTATGGACATGGCAGGGGGGAGGGGGGAGCCTGTGTACGTCATTTTGTACAGACTGACCCATTCACATTTCATCCTTTGAAGAGCAACAACAAATACAAGTAGAATTTAGATCGAGAGACCCACCACGTTGTGGGCCAGAGGGGGTATCTGTATACAATTCTCAGGAGGCTGCAGTCTGAGAGGGGGTGATGGCTGTAAATATTTTAATAGCACAAACGCATCAAGAGCTACAAAAGAAAATAGGTAAATGGAAAGCACGTCAAGATCACTCTTCTGTTTGCTTTAGACACACACGTGCCTCTAGCAGAGAGCATACACTGGAACACGTCAGGACTCTCCAGCTTCTGTTTAAGTGCTTCAGCTGATACACATGCCAGCTATGTTCTTAGGAAGCCTGGTGGATCTGCGGGGGTTGGTGTAATACTTAAGAACTGCTCCATAACATTTTTAACAATGTTCACTGCTTCCAAAATGTTACCAGGGTTTATTTGTTGTTGCAGTTTGCAAACCCCCCATTCCCCTCCCCAACTTAACCAGCCAGTTCTTCCTGAAAATCAGAACCAGCATGTGATTCTCTTGCTGGAGGATCAGGAACAGGTTATCTTTACATCCAAAGTGTAAACACAAAGGTTTACAGCAAACATTTCCCTGTATTTTCAAAAAAGTCCCTTGAGGATGACAATTTACTTGGCTTGTGCAATATAAATAGATGGTAAATGGCTTCACTGATATTAGATGTGGGAAATGGATCAGCGCCTTACTGGAATACTGTGTCCGAAGGAACTGTTTATGGATTTAAATAAAAGCACATATGTAAATATGAAGGTTTTCATTCCAAAATGCATTAAACGCCACTTTCATGAAGTTTCTTTTTTTCCATGATGTACACTGTTGGGAGTGAGCTTTGCACATACAAGTATAATCAATGCTATGATTAATACCACCTTTATTAGAGAAGTAAGAATGCCAGATTGACAGAGTGGTTTATCGGTGAGCTATACTTTTCAAATGTCTTTCTGTTCCAAATGGATATACAGTATGACCCATTTAACTCCTTTGCCATTTGTGTGAAATAATACAGCACTAGTAACAAGTAGTAATATGGTCTTTTGTTCCAAAATAACATGACTTCACGATTTCATTTTCACTATTATTAAGATGTCAAATAAACAATTTTATACAAATGTTCAAAGTCGAATGAATGGTGAAGGTTAGAGTAAAGGCTTTGGTAACATTTTTAGGCTTTTACTTTAATTAGTTCTAGAAATACCATGCATTGGCACCAGGCTGATATCAGCTGAACATGCTAGATCAGGTATCGAGGGTAAATAGAATAAATCCAATCCAATTCTGGAACAAACTATTCTGAAACACCCCACACCTACACAATATGGCCAAAAGTATGTGGTTGGTTTTTGGCAGAAGGCAGGAGCCTATGGACATGGCAGGGGGGAGGGGGGAGCCTGTGTACGTCATTTTGTACAGACTGACCCATTCACATTTCATCCTTTGAAGAGCAACAACAAATACAGAATTTAGATTGAGAGACAGTCAAGTCAAGTCAAAGTTTATTATATAGTGCTTTTTACAACCAGGCGTTGTCACAAAGCAGCTTTACAGAAAATAAGTGCTATTGTTGTGAAATGGAGCAGTATCAGTAAGTGGTATTGTGTCATTTCTAACAATTTCTCATCTATGCATTACATAACTGCACATCGTTCACATTTTCTGTTTTTTAAAACGTAAACTGCGGAGCTAAACTACCATTTTTCCATGCAAAAAGTGTGCTGCATCTTATGTAATGTCAGGGATTGAACATTGTCTTTACAGAACCATACAGTCCACAATCGATCACGTATTAGGCCTAATTATTGGATATCAAGGACGAATTGTCAAAAAAAGTAAAATCCTCCACAACTATGCGAAAAAGTAAGACAAATGAAGTATTTACACTTAATGTATCTTCAGCAAACACAAAAAGGTATAAAAAAGTTGAGAATGCAGGATTATCTTATCCTTCAGATGCTGACATTGCCAGTTCTATAAGAACAGGGCAGAGGTTAGTAGAAATGATAAGACTGAGGAGAGAAGGACTGTAGGTAACTAACTGCCCTGTACAAACAGTCATTGCTGTGTCTCTAAAAATGGCTGCGTAGCTCCACTGACAGAGCCAATGTCTACATGTATACATGGACTGATCTCCTTAACCTCTCACACAGCAAGAGCCCACTCAATTTTAACTGCATAGCCTCAAAAAAAAAATCGTAGTATGAATTGTTGTTAATCAAGCTACTCAATGCCTTTTACTT